CCTCTTTCCACCCTCATCCCTCTTCCCAACAACAGAACTAGCAAACAGATTCAGCATCCTCACCTGGCAAAAGGTGTTGTGGCTCAGTTCTGTGCTACCATTTTTGTTTTTCTCACGAAGGGAGATTTCCCTAGACAGTTATGCCAACTGTGTTGGTATTATTTCTTCAGGTAGCATCTTTTCCATTGAATGGAAACTTCCTATCATACCTTGCATTTAATAAAAACGAATTGTTGAAAGTTCAAGGGAAACAGAGGAGGATGCCATGAAATTAGTTCTTCCTGACATCTTGCACTGTAACCTGCTATTGTGGCTCAGTGGTAGAGTCCTTCTCTGCCACATGGGAGACCCAGGTTTGATTGCTGGACATGTACATAACTACAGACTTTGAGGCACTGAACATCTGGACTCAATCTAGCCTTTAGATTCTGTCTCAGTTGCCTAAAGAGGGGATGGAAAGTCTGGGCAGCCTCCACTCCTCCATACTCCTGCCTAGGTATGTGTGTCAAAAGTCCTGGTGACCTGTAACACGTATACCATGATCCAGAAGGATCAATGGTTGCCTACTACTACATCTTCCACCAGCCCCATATGTCTTGAAACAAGTGTTCGGCTTGCAGAAGTGCCCCACCAAAAAGCCTCAAAATATGCCCCTTTCCAATTTACAAGCCAAACAAATACAGGGTTACTTTTTCTCATTTAATTTAGTTTTAATACAAAACTGTTTTTCCCATCTTTTTTTTTTTTAAACGATGCCAAAAGAAGATGATGATAAGCAGGCAACAAGCAAGATGAAGACTGGTTTGGGACTGCCGTAGAACTGATTTGTTATGCTCACAAGAACTCAAAGCTGATTTTTGCATAATATTATCCCAAATGAGCCGGTTCAAATGTAGAGAAGCACTCAATGACTGAATACCTGGTGTTACTTAAGTTTGACTTGCATAGAGAAAAGAACAGGAAACCAGTGCACAAAAGTTAGTGAATGGTACATAACTGAAAAAATAGGAGATGGCGAAGGGCTCAATGGTGGGTGGGTGTGGGGGGAATTGAGAAAGACAGAAGGTTGCGTCATGAAAGTACATGGATACAGACTCAAGTTTCAACTCCCAGTTCTTTAGGCAACCAGCATCTGGACATAACCCAAGGAGACACCCTTGGTATCTCTTACAGGAGCAAATATCCCCCTCCTATGCTTTGTTGCTTATTCAGTGGGGGACCTCACATGGCTTTGGCTCTCTCATTCTTGTGCATTATGGCCAGATTAATTGTTGGAGATCATATGGTACTACCCTTCCCTTCTACTATAACTTTCAAGCACTGCACTCACATGAGTGATATTAATTCTGCCACAAAAGCTCCTTCTCCATTCTGGAATAAATCCACCTAAAATTACACAGTCTTAAATGACCATCTTCTGTGCATCGCCCATTTTTTAAAGTTTAGGCTGTGCTCATATTCCCATCATCCCCAAACAATGAAACAGATTCTTAATACACAATTTTGTTCCTGCATTTTTAGGGATATTTTGTCTAAGGAATTTATGCTTGATAGAATTTAGTCAACCAAAACATTTCTGGGGGAGGCCAACTAATGCTACAAAATAAATCAAGCAGATTAAGCATGTGCTCTAGGAGATTCAGTGTTTCATTTTCACTCTTACAATACATTAAAAAAAATGGTTCTCAGTTAGGTTCTGCATACAGACAGGTTTATGTAAAATATAAAACATTTGTCCAAGTTGTTACAGATTGCATAAATATGGCATTTTTACTGTTGCCTTTACAGATGTGCATGTACATCAATGTGCAAATAATCACAACTGGATTACAATCTTTGAAAAGCACTTGAACTTTGCATCCAAGTAAAGCAATGAATGAAAAAAAATGCCCACTGAAGGATTTAAATACCAAACTCATAACACGGTTTCAATGTCTTCTCAGTAAAACTTCACACATTTAAAATAGTTTGTATTCATTTTATTTGTATATGTCAAAATACATTTTTTTTCCAAAATAGTGGGTTTTGCAACTAGTTTCATGCAGATACAAGGTCTGCTCAGTACTACCAATAAAATCAATGTAGCACAGTAGCCATTCGGTTTTTAGATATAAAGAATAAATAACCTAAATATAAAACACTAAAATATTAGAAACACGTATTTAGTCATTCACAGGCACCCAACTTTACCAAATATAATCCAAAAATATGCCCATCTATCTTGTAACAGAATTCAAACACATTGCAGCCATTCAAACTGGTCAATTCTCTGTTTAATGTTCGCATAAGACAATGGAAGGTTCCCTATAGTCAGACCCACCTCTCATACAAATCAATTATAACAAGATATCTCAAACTATCCTTGTACCTTTTTAAAATCAAGAATCCTGAGCTTGGTAGTAAGAGCATAACCTTACATCTTCAAAAAACCAATCAACAGAAAGAGGACATGTCCTCTTTACCAAAACACGCCCTCCCACCCCCAATAAAACTAAACACCCCTCCCCAAAAAGTAGGCAGTAGAACACAATGACCTTTTTTAAATGAAGGGGTACAAATTCACATTTAATATAGTATACAATATAGTCAATAATACATTAGCTACTACAAGCTTTACAATGTACAATTTCTTTTAATGGCTGAACTGTTCAGTGGTTTTAGGCAATAGATTATGTGCCAATAAGATGTAATTCTTGAATGGTTTAGTGAAAATATAAAAGCTGTTTGTTTCTAACAAAAGCTATCTTCACTTATGTATTTTTTAAAGGCCACTGAAATGTATAAAATGGTCTGACATGATGATGGTATCAAATCAGATGCCTTTTCACATGGCAATAACAGTGCATATAAACATTAACGTGAGTGTAATGGGTTAGGTTTTTCCAAATGATTTAGTAACATTACTTTGGCTAGCACAACAGTTTTGGACAGCACTCAGATAAATACAGGTATGTGAAATGTAGTGAAGCAGTTATATTTATGCAACTTTTATTATGGTGAACACTATCAAATGAAAAAATGGGAGGAAAAGGTAATAAAAGTATTTTATATAGTTTAAACCTTTTGCAAAGATAGGGCTCCATACAATGTACAATGTCTAAAGTCTTTATACCATAAAAATTAATTAACTTTGTTAAACACAGTATTCTGGAGTAGCCTAATTTGCATTAACAGACATTTGCAATAGGGAAATATATTCAAGCATGCCACGTGGTGGTCTGAAAAAAAATCAAAACAGTACACATTTATATATACAGCATCACTCAGTACCTGCTAAAATGAATGTGAAGATTACAGGATCTAACATCTTTCACTACAAACTTTTTTTTTCTTTAAAAAATGTGACCAATAAAGGCAGAAAACTGGACTCTTAAAATAATTCTAGGTTCAACTGACTTTAAAGCATCTTGTATAGGAAATAAATGCATATTGCACAAACAGTGAAAGCAAATGTTCCACCAAACATCTCTGTGCCAGGTGGCTAGACAACACAGCTCTAGTTTGCTACACAATGTATTTTAAAGGGGTGTGTGGTCTCTGCAAATGGTAAAGCTGTGAAAAAAAACACTGTACAGGAAAATCTAGTACATGAATAATTAGAAGGGGCGAGGGGGAAGCAAATCCAAACTTAGATGCAAAGAAAAAAATTGAGTATAGAAAAACTTGAGAACTGTGGCACAACAAAAACATTAGTGAGTAACTGTCTTCTGTGAGAGCTGAAAGCTTTTGTTGATGCAAAAGTGTTTATGTACAACTAAGGCTTACTGGTTAAATATCTGAGGCGTATCTGGCCTTGAACACTTTCCTTATATGCTGTAGCTGTAAACAAGATTTCTCAGTCATTTTATCTTCTCAGCAGCTGCATTTTAACAGAAACAATGGTCTTGATTAAAAAAACAAAACAAAAAAAACCCCAACACACACACACACACACACACAGGTAAGAGGGCGTTTGGCAGGATATCTGAAAATGACAGTCTCCAAGGAATCTTCCCAGGCTTCCAGTGACTGCCGTGCTATGGTCCACTGGAGTTACTAGTTATGTGCAATACCATAATCTGCTGCTGTAGTAAACCTTTTATTTGGAAAGTTTGCTTATAACTCTGATCAAGGCCCCATTTTCATCTTTTAGCCTCTGGTTGTCTGCCTTCAAGTCTGGTAGCATCTAGCAAAAAAATTGAAACACAATAGTTATTTGATGTTACAACACAAATCAAAGCAACAGAATCAGACAAAGCTATCATGAGAAATAAAACCCTTACACAGATTATTTAGTTTCTTTCAACAAGAAATCTGCTTTCTGGCATGATACAGTCAGGCTATGATACGGAAGTTTTCTTTGGCTAGGGCTGACCACAAGTGGTCTCAGCCTACTCTAGGTGCTTTTGTGCAAAATATAACATCGCAAATGTTTCCAGTAGCCAAAAGTACTCAACCAATTTACATGGAATGATTTGATAAACAGTTCAAATTCCAAGAGGCCCATCTATACTAGCAGTTTACAAGATTTCAGGATTATTTAGTTCAGCTAAGCATGGTCCACTGTGCTCCTATACATGTTACAACTTTCGTAAGGCTCCAAAATCAAGCAGTCAAAGGTTAGGAAAATTCCAAAATTAAGTTTGTTACAGGGAATAAGTGGTTACGGAGCAGAAGGTAGCTGGGGTAAAAATCTGATAGGCACAGAGAGGTCAAGAGCTAGAGTGGGATGAGGTGGGAGTCATGCAGGATCAGAAGGGAGCGGGACAGCCAAGGGGCAAAAGGGTGGGTTTTTTGTTTTATATATATATATAGCCACTAGTTTTGTTTTTTTAATTTATATATATCTATATCTACAGATATAGCTATATAAAACCACTAGTGCCTGCAGCTCTAAGAATCTAAAGGATTCGAACAGTGATGGCTAAACCCATGTGATTCCATATCCTCCCTCCATGCCACAAGCCCAGCTATATTAAAACAACATTATTAAGGTTGTAGCATCAAGCACTCAAAAGGGAGGAAATGCCAGAATGCCAAAGTCTGCTCTGCAACTATAACATGACCTCACCAAGGTATATTACAAAACACTATTGAGCTAATTCTTTCCACAGTGCCCCTGTATCTTGACTGTGTAGTGAAGGAATAAGAACTGTAGGCCTCCTTGCTTTGTGTGTTGTGGACACTGAAATGCATGTAGTGAAAGAGGCAGAGGCATGCAAGAAAGGAAGATGCATTTATGGGTTGTTTTTTTTTTTATGTCACCATGGAGAACTGTTTTTGATCCCTGCTCGTCACGGAGGTCTTATTTAATTTTGGGCAAGTCACGTAAGCCAATTTATTTATTTATTTGACAGATGGCTATTAACAGTGCATTTATAATTTTCTTGGTTGCCTAATTTTTAACCTGGGGCCCGATTTGCAGCCTCAAATACTTAATGGGAGTTATGTTTTAGAAATATAAACTAATAGGTACTCTGAAAAATTAGATTTATACTACCTAAATTTAGGGGACACTTGTCAACTTTGGCCTTAATTTCTCTGTGCTTCAACTGCACAGCTGTAAAATAGGAATAATACTACCATCTCACCTCACAGAGCTATTCTGAAGAAAAAGTTTATTCCTGTTTGTGAAACGCATAACAAGAACACCACAGAAACACCCATGAAGTAATAATTTAGTCTTCAGTGCAGGAGTTGGATTTTTTTCCCCTGGGACTGTACATGGAATAATGAGTAAAATACGAAGGAATATTGCAAAACTACCCATTCACTGAATGAGATAGGGACTTTATGCAAAAACGTGATCAAACACAACACAATCATAGTGCATACATGTACAAGGACCAAATTACTGTTGCGCTGGCATTCTTAATGTCACTTCCTGACTTTTGAGCGTGACTTTACAACCTTAATTCTTTTTTGAGACAATATCATCTCTAATATTATGGCATGTTTGTTGTATTTGTGTGCAGACGTCTTTTCATCTGCTAACACTAGGATATTTATTTTGTTGTCTTCCTGTGCCAACTCACTGTCCAGTAATAGTCATTAAAAAGAATAAATACATGCAAGTGCACCCAGAAGCTTTAACAGTTTTTCTGGAGAAGTACCAACCAAATGAAAAAAATTTCACCAGAGGAAAGTGGGGGGCAGCCTGGCCTGAGCCTGACCCTGTGGGGGGGGGGGCAGAGTCATGACCTGGTCCCAACCTGGCCTGCAGGGGGGAAAAGGGGGCGTGGGTCCACCCCCACCATGCCAGAAAAGGTCATGGCCTGGCCCGGCCCCTCAGGGGGAAAGAGGGTGCAGACTGACTCCAACTGGGCAAAAAGGGCTTAGGGGTTTGGGAATTTGGCAGAGGGGAAGGTGGCCATAGTAATGGTCCACTGCCAAAATTTCCTGACCTGTGGGGAGCCCCGTAAGCCAGACAAGATGGCTCCGTGGCTTGAGCACCCCTACTCTGTATCGTTGGAATATTGCTTTGGGGACTACTCCAGAAGGACAGATTGAAACATTTATGCTCCACACTTACAACTAAAGCCAACCTGGATCAAACTGCACCAACTGAGGCTCATCCAAAACTTTCCCGGCGCAACGCAAGCCTCCTTACTGTTAGACATCTTGCACCATGTCCACGTGCACTTTTGGTTTGAATGGGCAGATCTTTAGTTAATTTAAGTAATGAGGTAGTCTAAGTCATAGCAGTTGAAGGTCTGCCCCGACACATTCTGGTAGCAAACCAGCAGATTAAACTGTGATACACCTGTCAGCATTCTCTAGTGTAGATGAGCCTCTAGTTAACCCTTGACTGTACATGTTGTATACACAATATATAATACAGTACTTCAACTCTAGCTTGTTTCTCCCTGTTATTTTTCTGCCATCAACCCATTCAATAAGCAAGGCCACACATGCACTAATTTATGTTAGGCTAATTGGTAATTCTGCATAGTTTTAATTAATACAAAGTACCATTAAATGGTCATTAAGCACACTTTAGTAGCCACACCCAAAGAACTTTACAAAATTAAAGTGTTTGTGTATGTGGTTTAGGATTTTACAATTCTTATCTGTGGAACAATATTGCTTAAAGTAAGATTGCAAACAGGTTACACCCATGAACATCTCTCCAGCTTCCTTTCTCAACCACCTCACTGGATCATCTAGGGCCTGACTCTGTAGGCAGAATTAGAGCTATGCACCTCTCTCTTGAGAAAGAGGAATGGATGGAGTGCAAATTACCACCTATTTTAAATGTTTATTTCTATTTGATCCAGATCTAAAGGTACACACTTTCAACCTTTTTCTACCAAAAGGGTACAGGCTACTGGACTGAAAGGTTTGGACTACAAAAATGCCAAGCTTTATTCTCCCTAAAAGGTAGTAAAAATAGTTACAGGGAAACAGATTTCATGAAGTGAAAAACAAAAAAAATGTGAACAAAACTGTGGAAAAGCTTAGGCTGGAAATTAGATGGTTTCTAACCCTCACAGCAGTGAAGTTCTGGAGCAGCTAGGAATACAAAAGCCAAAAAACCTAATTAGTTTTAACATGGAGCTTGATCAATTACTGAAAGGGGCTACTGGACATGGTTAACTGTGCCAGTAGAAGACTGGACCTAATAACTCAGGACATCCCTTCTGGTTTTACAGCCTTTTTGTTCTATGTATCCTGAGCTATGGTATGGTAACTACCACCTTCTAAACAACTTTGAGAAACTGATTTTCAAGGATATCAGCATGACTGAGCCTGAGCTGAAATAACCAAAGTATCTGAACAAATATAAGTTCAGGTACAGTCTTGAGGGAGGGGAGAGGGGAAGAAGCTATTTTTGTTGCTAATGAAAACCAACATACCCAACTGTAAAAGAAAGGAAACCATTGATGCAAATAATGATTGTAAGTCCACAGTACTGGAACCAGTACCATGATCCTGACTAGTACAGTTTTGATTAGTTTTAGTTAACTGAGACAGTGAAGACAGACAGTGAAGGAGAAGGAGACAGAGACATCACAAAAACAGAGACAAAAGGGACCTCAAGAGATCTAGTCCAACATCCTGCTAGAAGTGGGATTCATCCCTGTCCAAACCATCCTAGACAAATGCTTATCTAATCTGTTCTTAAAAATGTCTAATGACAGAGATTCCACACAATCACTCCAGATAATCTGCTATAGTACCAACTACCAACATTTAGGAATTTTTTCCTGCTATTCAAATAAACTTCGTTGCAATGTAAGACCATTACAACTTTTTGTCCATTTATAAATTGTCCCTCTTCTTTATAAAAACATATTAAATACCTTCCTTCTTCCCTTGCTCCAACAATATAATCCCAATTCCAGCCTTTCATATTATGTTTTCTAGAAGACCTCAAATAATTTTTGATGTTCTCCCCTAGACTCACTCCAATTTGTCAATATCTTTCATGATTTCCCAAAATTGGAGATAGTCCTCCAGGGGAGGCCTCACAAGTACCGAGCAGAATGGAAGAATTACTTCCCACAACTTTCATACAAAATTTGTGTTAATATATCCCAGTAAACTATTATTTTTCTGCAATAATTTTATGTGGTTGGCTCAGTTTGTGATCCACAATATCCCTCAGATCCTTTTTGGCAGTACTACAGTCTAGCCAGTCTTTTCCCCTTTTGTGTTTGTGCATTTGCTTGTTCCATCCCCAGTGTAGTATTCTGTGCTTGTCCTTGTTGAATTTTATCCTGTTTATCCTAACTATTAAGTATAATAGACTGGCTTTTGGATTTCCAAAGTATTTTCAACCCTGCATATAGTAAAAACATCAAAGCAAAGGGGAGCATCTTAAAAGCTCTCCTGGTGCTACCTCAGATAGTCTGAGTTCAGAATGTTACTGAGTTTTAATAAAAAGTAGCTATGCACACAGCCATACAACTCATGACATTACATCTTTACATGAGGCATGAATACCATATTGAAACAATCTTTAAGTCAAAGATATTTCTGGAGCTGTCCCCTGATTTATCGTTGAATACAAAATGACAAGTGACTTTGCTAGTAAGCGATACCAAATCACATCAATATGTATATAACAGGATCTGGAATGCTGGGTACCATGCATAAGCCACACTTCTGTAGTCAAGCAAAAGAAGTGAGTCTCCAACACACAGGCATTAATAATATACGGCCAAAGCACTAGCTAAAGTTCAACACCTGCCTGGCTACACAAAGGAAGAGAAATGAAGGAAGAAGAAATTACAAGTCCACAGAATGCAGTTGCCTACAGGACCCTGACAGCTTGGTAACCACTCTGGTCAAGGCCCTATTCTCAGCCACCAGCCGCTCATTTACATGTCTCAAAGACTGAATTTGCTTTACTTGATGTAGATTCTGCAGGAATTGCAAAAAAACAGGAGTGAAAAGAAGACCAAAGCAAGTACAGTATGTTTAAAAAGAACCATAGATGAGAAGAACTGAAAGAAAACTTATATTGAGAAACAGTAGGTTTAAAGCAGATAACTAGCTGTGAAAGGAAAGCATCAAACAAGTGGCACATTCTTGAAATGTAATTTAAGAACAGGCAGAAATTAGTCACAGCTTTGCAAAAGAGTTCAGGATGCATTAACAATGAGAGTTATTCCTGGAATTCTTTACTTAACATTCTAATTACAGACTAAATCTCCTATTCAGAAGTCTGTAAATAATCATGTGCTTAGCATATACTTTTACATGACTTTACAGCAAACAACTGGATGAAAGGTTAATCTTATAATTCAAAACATTCATATGCTGCTGAAAAAAAGCTTTTAAAAAGTGGCAGTACTTATTTGTATTCTCTACTTCTGTTATGACTCTAGCAAGTCTGCCACACATCCTCATATTCCCTGTTCTAAAGTTCCTCATTACTAGATGAGAAATTTTTCTAGTGCTGTAGTTAGCTTTCTGTGAACCCCACTATTAAAACAAAGTCTCAGAAGCATCAAATATTGTGTCCCTGGTTATGACAAACTTCCTTGGCTCTGTCTCTAACATAACTAGAACAACATGATTGTCTTGTTTATTTCTCTGCTTGTTGCCTATTGTATCACCAAAAATTCAGTGTGTGTATTTAGAAGTTGTCTTTGGAAGTTAATATTATTACGAAACAGCAGAGGGAGCTCAAAACGAATTCAAGAAACTTTCTTGAGTAATAAATATTGGACATCAATTGCCTGGTGTCACTCAATTTGTGGAATACAAAGTATTTCTAATTCATCGTATTCCATCTATTTCCTGGATATAACTTAGTTTTATCAGTTGTTGACCTGGTTAATTTTGTCCATGTGCACAATTTAAAATTAGAGGTGCACCAATATATGGGTTGCCTATCAGATCAGCACTAAAAAAGGGGAAGTGACATTATTAGCTAACAGCTTTTTTTGGCCGTTGTAGACAATAATATTTACCGATACCTATGCCTGCTGGCCAGGCCTCTGGACACCTGGGTGTTTTCTCCCCTGCAGGGCCAGGGCCCTCGATGCCTGGGTTCCCTTGGAAAATGGTGGGTTTCCCCTTGCAGCTGGGCAGAATTCTAGCGCAAAGGGTCCTGCTGGGGGCTGCCAAGAGTGGGACACAGGGGGCCTGCATGCATGTGCGCAGCTGCATGCATGCACATGGCCCAGAACTAGAGGTGCACCAATACGTCGGTCCAATATTGAATCGGTACCGATATAAACTGTATCAGATATTGGCCTGATGGGGCCAATAATTTGGCCAATAAATGCCCATGCTGCATGCAGCCGCAGCGCAGCACTCAGGCAGCGAGAAGCACAGCCTGCAGCATGGAGAGCTGCCTCCAGCTGGTAAGTCCAGTGTGGTAGAAGGGAAGGGGGAAAAGGATGGGGGAGGGGGGGGAGGGGTGTCTCCCGCCACTGCTTGCACCTTGGGAGGGCATGGGGGGGCCTGTGCCCCCCAGATCTATGCGGGGTGGGGCAGGCTGCAACCAGGGCTGTGCAGGGCTGGGCTCGGAGCAGGCGCTGGTGGCATGCTGAATCTACCCCAAATTTCACTGCTGCTCCACTCCCAGAGCTGCCAGCTGCCCGATGCAGCCCCGGCTCTTCCTGTGGAGGCAGGGCATTGAACCAGGCCTGCGCCAGGTGGCTGGCATTGGCGGTGCTGGTGCACAACAGCGGTGAAATCTGGGGTGGATGAAGCATCCTCCCAGTGCTGCCAGCACCCAGTCCCAGCCCAGCCCTGCCAAGAAGAGCCCTGCACAGCCCTTGCTGCAGCTTACCCCACCCTGTGCAGATCTGGGGGACACACTACCCCATGCCCTCCCGGGGTTCAGGCAGCAGCAGGAGCTGCCCCCCCATGAGCCATGACTCTGGCCCTCCTCCTGGGCAGCACCTGCCCCTGCCCCCTCCCTCACCATGGAGGGAGGGGGGTGTTGACCTGCCCCGCCCATACCCCTTCCCTCGCCCCTCCCCTTCCAGCACACTGGGCTTAGCAGCTGTATCAGAAATCATATCGGTACTGGCCAATATGCCTCCTTAAATATCGGCTATTGGTATCGGCCCCAAAAATCTCTATTGTGCACCTCTACCCATCCGGGCAGTGTGGAGAGCTGCTCCCTATAGGTAAGTCTATAGAGAGGAAGGGGGGAAGGCAGACTGAGGCCCCCATGGTGAGGAAAGGTGGGGGGCAGGGGCTGGGGGTCCTGCCCAGCTAGGGCAGTGCATGGGACCCAGGGCTGAGGTGGGGAGTGGGATGGAACCATGGGCGGCTTGTCCGATGGGGCGGGGGGGCAGCAGCTCCCCACCACTGTGAGCAACCTTTGCAGAAGGGCATATGCTCACTGTGGGCTTGGGGCTCTCTGCTCTGCTGCGTTTCCCTCGGGAGTCCCGCGCCAGCTGCACGCCCCCTACCCATATGGCAGCATTAGGGGCAGAGAGTTGTGTCCTCTGCTGCTGGGTGGGCAGGGGGTGCGCAGCCAGCACAGTGCTCCTGAGGGAAGGACAGCAGAGCAGAGAGCCCTGACCGCACAGCAAGCAGCCCGCATCCGCCCTTGTCCTGCTTGGTTCTGCTCCACTTAAGTGTCCCGATGCTTAAAAATGGTGGCAGCAGCACTTGAACTAAAGATCACTTGACAAGCTTTAGTTCAAGCACCCCCACTGCCATTTTTAAGCACTGAGAAGGTTATACATGTGACAGAAAATGCTGCTGGAGCATGTAAAAAAAAAAAAAAAAAAAAAGGTTCATTTATGACAGTACTTTAAAATGTAAATTGGTTAACAGATTGGCATCAGTCAATATGGTTGGTTAATAACAGGCTCTCGATATTGGCCAAGGAAGTCTTTATCAGTCACCCCTACTTAAAATGCATCTGTAGTCAGCTCTCAAGAATAACTAAAGATAGAAGACAAATTGTGTTAGAATAATATTGTCAGTAATCCCTGGAGTGCAAAAACTATACCACAAGTGCTAAAAAGAACAAAAGTCCTGGAAATCAACTACACAGCTATCATACTTCTGGATTCAGTACATACACTGGAATACTGTAACAAAAACTATAACAAAATGGCAATCTTTGTTTCATGTGCTACATTCATGTCAGCATTTGGAAAATAAAACAATCTAAGCACTATCTCCACATCAATGGAAAGTTAGAAATTAAAATTTTCATGTTTGGTTTTACTTGGTTTTCAAATAAAGCATCTCATTTGGTACAACTGAAAAAGTTATGGTGTAATGGCTTTAATTCATATGTTCAGATCAGGAGGTATAAAGTCAACACCAACACAAAAGTGACTTTCAACTTTTAGCACTACACAGTACATGCTTGTGATCATGGGCGACTGGTGCCACCTTAGTCGGGGGGGGCGGGGCACATGCCTCCCCCCACAGCTAATCTCACCAACAAGGGGTGGGGAGGGGGATCCAAGGCGGCTGATCACTGTGGCCACTTCTGGGAGTGCCGCTCCCTGGCTGGCACTGGCAGGAGAGGCACTGGTGCTCCTGCCTGCCCCCCCCCGCCCATCGTGTAAGTGGTGAGCGCAGCTGATCAAGGGGTGCACGTGCACCCCCTAAGCATCACCACTGCTCCTGATGCTTCTCAGTCAATAAAAGCACAGAAACATGTACATTACAATCTACAAGAAATCTACAAAGGACTTTTAATATTATTTTCTTGGTTTAAATTCACCAGTTTCCCAATCTAAAAAACCCCTGACTTGTCATTATGACCATTACAATAAGCTTATAAATTTCAGCTACTTTCATTAAAATGCTTCACCTCTTGTTAATGTTCACCTCAGAACTACTGCAGAAGAGATAATGAGTGTTCTGGAAGCTTAGATGTGCATATCTATTCTCTGATGAGATTACACACAACAGTAAAACTTCCATACTACATATTATTTGTAACTAAGTGTGTTTTAAAATGAGTCATAAATAATGTACTGTACTTACTTTGAGTTCTTCTTCCATTTCAGATATCCTTCTTTCTAGAGCTCTTCTTTCCTAGATCAACAGATTAGTGTTAATAACAAACAGTGCCAGTTATGTTTGTAATATTTTTGTAAATACTGTGAAAATAGTGATGCTTCCAAGTTCCAAAGATCAAGCAACCAGAAGCACAGTGTGGCCAGACTTGTGGTGCCAGTGAAGTATAGAAAATTCTACATAAAAATGTGGATGAAAGACGTATTAAGTTCTTTCTTACATTTCATTAAATATATCCCTCTCTCTATTTGAAATAAGGGGAGTTCATGTGGTTAAAGCCATGTCTTTGTCCAGATTTTTTTATTCCTTTAGCTAGATTTCTGAGATAGTTTAATATATAAGAAATGCAGAAAATGATCAGAAACAAGAATAATAAAAGAAAAAGAAGCACAAAAGCACAAGCTTTCATAAGACAAGCAAACAGAGCTGAAATCTTCAGTGAGTATGTCTACACTGCAAACTGCAGCAGGATGGTTCAGAGAAACCTGAGGTTGGTTTAAGTTTAGATACTAGCAGCTATTTAGCCCTCGTAGCATGAAGCTCCATGGTGGCTAAATTACCCTGCTTCCCAGGAAAGTTCTACCTGATCATTTTTCTCCATTTTTTTTCCACCTAAGAGGCAGGGAGAATTAGCCCATGCAGAGTTCTGGGGCTAAAGTGTTTACAGAACTTCATTTAAAGGTAGAGCTGACATCCCTCAACTAAACTGAAGTTTGTACTGCAGACATCATCACTATCTTCTCAAAATACTATTTTCATTTTATTTCTTTTTCTCCTTTTTCTTTTTTTTACCACTTCCAAACTTACATTCTGGATTCATAATTCAAATTTGAGAGCTTAATCGCTTTCCCTGTGTAAGACAATGCAGTGATTCTCATTTAATAGCAGTTGCAGTATTCAGTATTTTACATTCAGATTTTTCCAAAGAGTGAAAGGCAAAAGCAATTGTTTACTGCAAAGTGTACATCTGCATACAATGGTGTTATGCAAACAGCAAGCAGCATTAACTGAAGTGTGTAAAACTTTGGTTAGATCATACCGCCCAGTAGACTCTTGCCGGTCACCTTTCAGATACAAACCATTTGAATTTAGTTTAATCATTGTGAAGTTATTCCACATTAATTTCCCTATTTTAGCAAGCAACTTCAAAGGTTTAGCAAAAGTAACCATTTACTGCAGTTGTTAGTTTCCTTAGTTTAACATCCTTAATTATTTGGTGTTAAGAACTGGATTTCCCACCCCCCCATGATACTGACATAGTAACGGGCATAGTAAGTACCAGTGAGTTAACTGCAATAAGCAAGTGGCTAAAAAATAGAACCAGGCCAAGAAAGCTGCGAGCCCGAGTTACTTGGGAGTTGCATCAGTTACCTATTAATTTTGTAACATAATATTTACTGCCAGTGCTCTGAAATTAAGCAATGTTTGAAAACCTCTGCAAGTATCAAGAGCAGAACAATGGGTCAAATTCATTTTAAAAGATTCATATTAGAAAACCAATACAGTTACACCAGGGTAAATCTGTTCCTGTATTTGTTAAATTATCTATTTAGCTATAGTGATCCTGTTTGAGAATTGCTAGACATTAGTGCCCTACAAGTTCAGATTTCACTAGCGTTCCCCCCCACCTTACAGTTGGAGCTACAAAAGACAGCATTTAATTCCACTGCCCTAGAGAAATAATTTATTGCTGAACGATCACATTCTAATTAATATAACTGATACTGAGAAGTTTCAACAATGCAGAAGAATTCTTAAAAATATGCTCCTTCTATTGCAACAGTATTCTGTAAAAATTACACTGTGTTTTCGCACAGAGAAAAAAATACCTAGATACCACATTACAGAAAAGGTTTGGCATAATACCACATTACAGAAAAGGTTTGGCATAAATTGTAATAAATTAACTGTTTGGAAAACTGCTGTCAGTGAGTATTTCCATTAATCAACCATAACCTTCAGAAAGCTGTTTTGTTTTGTTTTTTAAACAAGCAAATCTGACTCTATAAGTTACTGATTAGTCAATTCCTTGATTCACCACATAGCAGAATACTACAGATCATGTTCACCACTTTAGACTTTGTCCACGTTTTAGTTTTGCTAGCATAGTTTTACCAGTCAGCAGCCTGGAAAAAAAATCTCCCTTCCCTACAACTAGTTATAAACTGATTATATGTAGCTATACCAGTAAGAAGTCCATTTGCCAGTATTGTTAATTCTATTATAGAACTGGTTTAAGGTACCCTAGCAAGAGTCCTTTAGCTATCAGAAGCTGCCTTGTCTCTCCACTGGCTAGCTATAGCAAACTCTTAAGGGTACACAAGCTCAAAACAAAAAATGAAATAGCAAATACTAAATCATTCAAATATTCTGTCCTCTAGTTTACAAAAGTAATGAAGCAGCCTCACAATTAAAACTAAATATGAAATAGAAACTCAGCTGATATATTATCACAGCTCCTAGGATCCCTAATCATAGATAGACCAGGACCTCATGTAGCTATGCCAATCTATAATAGCTGAATATCTGTAAAATAATTAACAGAAATGTTGTCAAAATACAGTTTACATTTGTCCTGGAAAATATCAATTCATGAAATTCAGTCAACTGTAACAACCTACAAGCAGTTACTGTGCACTGATGCTGTTCTACTCTGCAATGTCCACAGTGGCTACCACTGAAAGTAAGATTTCTAGAAAATGGGAGTAGACAAAAGTAAGCCAGAAGCACTTATAAAGATTTAAACTGATGTTTTCTTTCTTGAAAAAGATACAAATTTAAGGACAATAGTATCGGTGTCATATCTTATCTGTTCTAGTCCGTTTCATTTTTTAAATTGACTTTTAACTCCTACTTAGAAGAAACTCAGCCAAAGACAAAGCTTAGCGTTACAAATCCATCACTAGTGAGGGCTATTATTAGGTTCTGCTTGGCTTTTGTCCTCACAGTTCTCCAGTGCCATGCTAGCACATGCACCTACTTCAACATCTGACCTCCTCATCTGGCCTCCCTGACCAAATCAAAAACAATTTTAGGAGGAAAGGAACAACAACAAAAAAAATAAGATTTGCCAAAACACTGAGATCCCTGAATAAGGAAAGGCAACACAAATTGAATCACATTAATGATGAGTTTTGAAGGCAGCAGCCAATCCCTGTAAAGGGATCAAGAGAAGTCAGAATGAAGATGACAATGCACTAGAGTATGAAAACAACTAGCCTAAGGAAATTCTTTGTTTTCTTGTGTTTATGAACATCTCTACTTCCTCAGGGGAAATTTACTCCACTCAATACACAGGAATAATGAGGAATCCCTTACCAATTATATTTTTTGTAACAGACACATCCTCAACCTAAATCCCAAAATGTGGATATTTCCAAATTTGTGGAGGTCAAAGATGCTTGGAGTTTTTATTCTATTCCAAATATTGCAGAATTAATTGGTCAATGTACATTTCAGAGTAAAAGGCCGTAAACACAACCTCTGGTCCAACTGTAAACTGGGATGTTTGAGCAGTGATCAAATGTATACCAGGCATAATATACTGTATTTATTCAAATACAAGACAACCCCTGAATATAAAGAGACCCACCAAATAATTAGATTCTATATATGGAAAAAGTATAAATGTGTTATAATTTTTCAGGTACAAAATCTACTTATTGGAAGCTGGCCTTGAATTTGCCCCCCTCCCACTGCTGCAGCAAGGAAAATAAATCGGGGGGGCAGGGCCCCCCCTTGCTCTCAGCCCCCCAACTTCCTCCCCCTGCAGCCCCTTCCCCCACTTTTCACTGTCACAGAACCTACTCTCCCTGACCATATGAAGACAGGCAGATCTGAAAACACTGACTTGGAAATAAAGATTCCTGTAGCAATTTGCATATAGGCAAATTATTATGGGTACCCACAGACTTTGCTCATCCACAACTGAGGCATTTTACCTTTTTTGAAGCCGCTGCAAGCTTTAGCACTGGTACTCCATAAACATACTTTTGAGCAGCACTTTTGTACTTACTTACATATAGTACAATCTATGCATGGTATTAGTCCAAAGCCAAAATGCTCATGATTTACCATACGGGTCATTTGGCTGGGCCCCACCAGAGTCAACAGTATTTCAAGCCATGGTTACACTACAGCTCAGCACTGCTCAGTATGTGTGTGTACTCCAGATTTCCCCCCTCCAAAAGGATCCACGTGCTAATTAGCCCTCCTGCTCAGAACTGGAACTGGGTGTTCTTATCATGAGCCCTGGTATCCTCCAAAATGCAGACAAAGTACTGGGCAATCTACTCCAGCTCCACCTCATGGAAGGCAGGGCCACACTAATCAAATGCGACAGGCTGAGAAAGTGGGTGACAGAGGAATACTGGGTGAACTGGTTGGTGATGTTTGCCAGACATTTAAGGCTGACGAAGAAACAGGAATCATTGGAAATAAGGAAGGCACCAGCTTAGCTCAGAGAGTGAAGAGGAAGTAAAAACTGGCCAAGGGGGACCAGCAGGCTATGGGAGAGTTGCTGTTCCCCTGAGCACTACTGGGAGTAACAAGGAATAACAGCCATAAGTTGACTGAGAGTAGATTCAGGCTAGATATCAGGAGTCACTACTTCACAGTCAGGGCAGCTAGGAGCTGGAACCAACTTCCAAGGGAAGTGGTGCTCGCTCCTACCCTGGGGGTCTTCAGAAGGAGACTAGATATAATCATCTAGCCAGGGTCATTTGACCCCAGCATTCTTTCCTGCCCATGGCAGGGGGTCAGACTTGATGATCTGCTTAGGTCCCTTCCAACCCTACCAACTATGAAACTATGAAACATATTCAATGTAGTGGCTCACCATGACTTGAAAGAGTCACCTCTGAGGGGGACTGAATACACTAGGCACTACCATATATCTTATTCAGATGGATTTCATTAACCTATTCTTGTGGTGGGTTTGCCTAATATGGGCTATGTGTTTTATAGTCATGCTCAGTGTTGGCTGTATTTAATCAACTTCATAGTTGGTTTCCATTTGCCAGCACACACTGCTTTTGGCACCAGTTTAATGCTAAACTATGTATTTAATGAGGGTTCCTTATATGCAGATATAAGACAAAAGGCTTTCCTCCCTATGTGGATTGGGGGATATATGCCTTCTTATATTTGAATAAATGCAATAATTGGCCAACCTTTTTTTGCAGACATGACACAAATCATCCCTGCATTCTCCCCAAGTGCCTTGCCCTTTCCTGTTCTGCTGCTCCGCCTTCTGCTCCCTGACCAAACTGCTGCTCTTTCTGCCCTGTGCTCCCTGCCTGATCTGATACTTTGCTTTCTGTTCCATATTTTATCCGTCACTGTGCTGCTTTCCCTTCCCCAATCTGCCACATGCAGAGGCTGCCCATGCTGCAGGTTGGCTGTCCCTGTCCTACAGGAAAATAAGAATTAATGTAACCAAATTGCTGAATGCAGTGACCTGTCTTGAGAAAGAGAAAAATCAATACTTTTACAAAAGAAATGTAAAAGTATTGCCTAGCACTGTTGTATTAACAAAATGAAAGTTGGGGACTCGTGTAAAAATTGGGTACCATTACACCTAAAATTAAATGCCACTTGTGACAAAGGAAAAAACTGATATGAAACTATTCTAGCAGTGAGAGACAAAATGGTCTGAAAAATAGAAGGACATGGTATACTGAAGTATCTATTAGTGCTATTTGGAGAATACACACTTAAATATTGCATACCAGGACTTTTTTTACTTTTCTTATGGAATATTTATTCACTAAGTTTCATTCATGGAACTTCAGCTAGCCAGGACACTTAAGTATTTCTGTCTCACTACGGTCTCCTACCACAACCTAATTGTGCATGTTTTTAATTTACCAGCATTACGTTTTGTAGATTAAGATGTTTGCCTTCTTAATCTGAAATACTAGAAGTTAGAATTCCATGAAGAAGTCCTGTATACTGTTAGAACTAGGGATGTAATTCTTTCCTACCACCTGTAGCTGTTATAAATTATGTACAAATGAAACAAAAAAACTTGAACACTCCCTAATCCATCTTCATAGTCCACAGTCAAATGTGGCATCATTCCTACTGTGTAAAATGACTGTCAGTCATAGAATTTGACATCATTTACAACTGTGTACCAATGACAGGTTTAAGGTATGATACCTTGTGTAACAAAATAGGAGCAATATTTATTACTGATGATAAAGAGAAATTCTATCGAGATGTTCTCTCAATCCTGAAAATTGCCAATATAAACAAATGTTGAGGAAGCAAAGAGAAAGTATGCAGCAAGTTGATTTTTAATTTTAAGAAAAGGGTGTATGACATTCTTCAATTTTCAGAAAGCTAGACATTGTTCTGGGAAATAGGATTAATGTATGGGGCCCAGAAGGACAGAAGTCAATGGTGCATACATGTATAACAAAACTGACACTGAAGAGCTTTCTTAATGAAACCTTCTACTGCTTATAATGCTATCGTATATTTATTGTCATCTTTCATCCTAAAATTCCCACGTCTTTCAAAAAACTTAGCTTACAAGAATGACTTCACCTAACACTGATATCTGCCTCCCTCCTTCCCTCCACCTCTAGCTGAACAAGAAGCAGAACAAAATTAACTAAAATATGCAATAAAACATACTAAATACTTACCCTTCTCTCCATTTCCAAAAGTGACCTGTCAGCAAATCTTTCTTGCCTCTGAAAATAAAAAAGTAGTGGCTGTTTAGAAATGTAAACCTCTCCCCCACTAACATGGCGCTTTACTTATAATTTGGCATACCCTCATGCCGAGCCCCACACATGCCCAGAAGCAGCATCACATTAGTTCTACCCAACTCACCCAACATCTGTACAGATGGGGCGCTTTGGTAGGGCTTTTTTAGCACTTTCATCTAATAGCCGACTAAATCAGCCATTAGATAAAAGTGCCAAAATGTCCCGCTCAAACGCAGAAACTACACAGATGTTGGGCGAGCCGGGTCAAACTAATGCTCTGCCTCCTCCAGTAAAGTGTGTTTTGGTTATTTTTTTTCATGTCTGTCAGCAACATAAGTAACAGATGACATTTGTTTAGATGAAACAGAGGAGACAAAAAACCCTCGCTCCTCCCCTGCAAGACATTTTGGCTCTTTTTGGTCTTAACAATGAAAAAACTAAGTATTTAAGCAGAAGAGCAATAATGCATACTACCATTCAGTGTATAGATATATATGTCTGGAAATACCAGATATTAGCTATTTAGATATTTAAAACTCTCATTTTAGTTTAACAATGAACAAGCTTTCATTTCTAGCAGCAGCATTTTCTAAGTAATATCCACCAACAGAAATGTTTGAAAGAGAGTGTGCAGTACAGACATTCAGCCTGGAAGTGGCATGTTCCCCTTAGGAGAAACTGAATGAATGCTTGCACACTTGTAGTTCCTACTGGGAGACTGGTGATTCTCCCAATAAGAAATGTCATGCCTGTATGTGGCCACAGATTTCATATGATTGCCTAGTGCACCATTTACAGAACAGTTATCTGTATCTATTTAAAGCTACACTATTTGCTCCTTAACTACAAAAAAAGAACAAAAAAAAAAAATCTTAACCAAAAATATCTTTAGCCACACTATGCAACTTTATTTTGTTAGTACAAACCTGAGTGGCCTTTTCCAACTGTAGTTTAAGATCCGTCAACTCCATGTTGGTATCATGTAACTGTGCTTTCAGCTTTTCATTTTCAGCTACAATCTGTTCATAAAGCTAAGAGAAAACATTAACAAGTTTAACAAATGTGCATTCCTTTTGGCTACATCAAATAAATAATGTGCTATGCCAGAATCCTATATAGAAAAGAAACAAATTAATTCCCCAAGAAGTTACTCCTAAAATTCTATAACTGTTTTGACCCAACTTTGAGAAGCATACCTGTGTGACCAAATGGCTCTAAATATATGCACAAACAATACAATTTTGATTAGATGTTACATTTTAGAGCATTTTAAACTATTGGGTTAACCCTGAAATTATACAGGAAATTTCAACATGCTTCAAGAAAAAACGCAGGAAAATACCAGCTTTCAAGAGTAGAATTTTTACATTTCCTAAAAGAAGCAGCTTTTGACTTTTCCTGTGTTTCTGTGCATGCAAGTTATTTTTACTTCCATAGTACAGGAAATGTTAAGCATGTATGTTTTTGACAAACATACAGTTGGTCATTTTGAATCAAACAGCCTCTTTTTATTTTTAACCAATAAAACCTAGAGGGAGGGAGGTAGGTAGGTAGTAGGCCTGTGTGAAGTGGCCTATCTTTGATTTGGATCTGGCCGATTTGGAAGACAGTGACTCGATTCGGTGATTCAGATCACTGTCCCAAATTGATTTGGCTGAATTGGATTCGAAACATTCAGTGCTGATTCAGCCATAGACTATAATGGGGAAATCACTACAACACCTATAGTTGTGTCTGTTTTTTTTTGCAGAATTGGATGATAACAGCAGGGATTATAGCCCCTTCTGAGGGCATAAAGCCTGCTCAGTTTCAAGGAGCTAGGTGCAGGGGCTTCTGTGAAAGTGCACCTCAAGATTCTGAAACCAAAACTCATATCACTTGTGCGTGTTAAGGCAGAGCAGGATGAATGCAGAAGGGATGGTAGCCCCTTCTGAGGGCATGAAGCCTGCCAAGGTTGAAGTAGATAAGTGCACAGGCTTCTGTGAAAGTGCACCTCAAACTGTTGAAAGCAAAACTCACGTCACTCGTGTGTGTTAACTGGGTTTCTGGTTGTACCCGTGTTGGTCTAAGGAACAGGTAGACAATGTTCTTTGAGCAGATGTGATATCTTGTATTAGACCAACTGAATAGTTGGCGAAATATATCTTGGCACACTTTCACATTTAAAAATCAGGCTGAGGAAGCATCTGCAGTTGGTGTGTCCACTCTTCCTGGATGGAATGGATAATAAAGAAGCCAGAGGCTGAGCTGCAAGCAAGAAAGCCAGTCAGTGAAAATGTAAATTGAGGAATCAGGGAGTGAGAGAGAAGCTGAGAGGGAGGGAGGGAAGGGGGATGCAGCAGCGCAGGTAAAAGTGGAGAGGTACCTGGGGGGTCAGATGTCAGGCAGGTTATAGTGTGTCATAAATCCAATGTCTATATTGAGTCCATGAGTTTTTGTATCTAGATCAGTGGTTCTCCAAATTTATTTTTGCGGCTCACTTGAAAATTGCTGAGTTTCTTGGTGAACCACTTAATTTATTTTTTCTGGTGATGGAGGTCAAATGTAGGGCCAAGTACAGATATTCTTGATTGTTCTGCAACCTTTCTGCAAACCACCTGAATGGAGCTCATGGACCAGTGATGGTCCACGGACCACAGTTTGAGAACCTCCGATTTAGATCACTTCACACAGCCTTATATGTTGTTTCTACGTACCTCTCCTAGAGCACTGTAATTGGAAAAGATCATAGGTCACAGGCCAGCTACAGATGTCAGTATCTTCCCCCACTTCCCCCTCCCTCTTCTTCGTTTCTGTTTGCTGCAAGCCTGCCTTACGAATTAATTTGGAGATTTCAATTCGATTTGGACCTTTTAATGGGCATCTCGATTCGATTTGGATTTGGAGATCTGGCTGTCGAATCGAATCAGTGACTGAAGCTTCACACACCCCTAGCAGGTAGGCAGGATGTGTATGGACGTGTACACCAATAAGTTTCCATAAGTACCCAGGAATACTAATAGCACCGGTAGCCACAAAGAAATATTACGGTTCTCTTGCTCACCCTGGGGGGTTGCCAAAACCAGGAAATATTCTGTTCCTAGAGGGTGGCCTGATTCTTTCCCCTTTGTCTTCGTCCTTTTAACCCGGGTAAGTTAATAAGGGTGAACACTGATGGCGAGGCAGGATTTGAGACTTAACTCAAGTAATAAATCATAGCAGGGCAGAATTTTTAACAGATGACAACAAATATAGTTTTATTTTAATATCAAAATTATTGGGTCAGTTACCTTTTTAAAATCAGGTGCATCTTCTTTCTCTAGCCTACTACAGTATGGTTTTCGGTCTTCAAGGTAACTCTGTGACCCAGAACGTGACTGCACTGAATCATAACGGTCACTTGAAGATGTACTGATAGATCCCGTATCATATCTTAAAAAAAAAAAAAAAAGGGTTAAAGTTTTCCATGTTGAACCTCCATGCATGCCATTACTCACCTAGTTCAGGCACATAAAAAATTGTATTTTCAACTTTGAAACAAGAATGTACAAATGCCTCTTATCATTGTGTAATATAATCAAACCATTTTTTTCTATTCTCTTTTTAACCTGGTGCAAACTAAGGTGTCTAAGTTTTTTCATCTATTCAGTACTTCAAGTTTTATTCTGTATGTAAAATATGTTTTCTGACTGCAAAGTATGACATATATATATATATATATATATATATATATATATATATGAATTATACCAAGAAATCATTTCAATTCAAATACACTCATTCAATACATTTCTGTACCTCTTTGAAGTTCTCCTTTTAAGAATTCTTAAAGTACTGAAGCCAGGTACTTCAACGCTTCAAATGAATGAGTAAAGAACATCTAGCTAGTTTCCAGTATTTATTGCTTTTACATTTCAGGTCCCTTCACATTTAAAAGTGACACTCAACATACACTGTACTCAACATCAAGCTAGCTATTAAGAGCTTAGGAAACTGTAGCCTGCCTAAAGCAAAATATGTGCAAACACTCGCACCGAAGATAGGGCAGGGTGGCACCTTAGGAAACTAATAGATGGTTCATTTATGGTGTGATTAATGTGTTTATCACACTGTAAATATGCAAATGGACAAATTAAACCAACTTATGACATCATAAAATGGCAAACTAACCATGAAAACAATTCACAAGATGTGGAATAACTTTATGGCTTGGTTGTATGGCACTATAAATTGAATGTGGTGCATGGCCCTGAGCTGGGGTTGCCCCATCCTGATACTGACAAATCAACCATTTATCAGCATATGGATGGACAAGCCCTGGATTTAGAACCAGGCAGCGAGCCCAGGAGCTCCTCATGATCCAGGACTTCAAGAGAGCCTTGCCCTGCCACTCAAGCAAACCTGCCAGGTCAAGGAGAGTCCTACCCTTAGAACTGGGCAAGAGGTATCTCTGGGTCTCTGTTTTGGACCTAGAGCTGTCCCCTGCCCAATCTCAGGGACTAGCCGTAGGGCATCTATGTCCCATATCTGGGAGCCCCTGCCCAATGCTGATGATCATTGATTGTCAGGATCAGCAGAAGACAGCCCTGGCAGCCATGCACCTGGGATGTGGCAAATTTTATGCCCCATTCCCATGGTTGCACAACTTACCATGTGTATTTGCCATGTCAGGTTGTGTGACATGGGGAGGGGGCATAGCATTCCACAGACCCCAAATGCATGATTGCCTTCATGTCTGCCAACAACCTTAGAGACTAACTGGCTCAGAAAGACATGTACTTTCTTAGACAGCAGTATCTGATGAAGTAGGGTGCTGCTTAAGAAAACTCATGTTTCTCTGAACCAGTTAGTTCTTCTGCCTGACTTTGGACTAGCATGGCTAACTGCCTTTAAGTGCTCATATTGTTATTTAAGAAACTGTAGAGAGGTAATTTAATACTATGGGAAAAAAAAAATCTAGAAATGCAAAAATCTAGAAATTGTTTGGGCAAGAATTTGTCTTCTTTTTAAAGGCAGATTCCAATCTCCAGCTTGAAGATATGATATTAGTGGGAGAAAGAAATAGGAAAGATGGAACTAGGGAGCCTAGACTAACCAGCCATCATTTAAAGAAACAAAAAATATTAATTTATTTTTATATTGCTTATATGGGTTCCATTTGCTTCACTTCACTGATGCAAGAAAGGAATCACTCCTAGGACTCTCCTCTGCCATCATGCTTCATGTTGACAGAAGAGAATTTTGACTGGAAAAAAAACAAATCTAAATCTCAGCATTTAGAATAAATGCATTTGATGTAGCTAAAAAAATTAGTTAAAATTTTCCTAAGTGACTGACACTTCTGGAGTTTCACATTAGGAAACTTCAATTGAGCCTGATTTCCTGAGCACCGAGGCCTCTTTCTGGTAGTCCAAAAGGTTATCTGAGAACTTCAGCATTCAGAACCACTTGTCATTTATAGTGGCTTTATACTGTACATTTTGTAGCACACTGACTGTATCACTTATGTTATTCAAAATACCTAGAACATTTTAGGTGTCCTACAACTAATTAACTCAATAAATAAGGTTATAACTTTGAAAGTATTTGTAAATCAGTTCCAACTGCATGCAAAAAATTAAATATCCCTTCTGGAGCTCTCTGACTACCTCATCTCAATGTATAAAAGACATACTAAATCTTTATATAGTACTGACATAATTAGAGGTGAGCCTAGCCTAATATTGGAATCAAAGTGGGTTTTTTCCCATTAAAATACATGAATCAAGAGGGTAATATTTTTAAAAATATTTTGTTAAAGAAGTCAACATACCTTGAAAGGCTATCACTCTGGGGAGACAAAACAAACAAACAAAACCTCATTAGAGTAGGTCAGTATTTGTACTTTCATTAAATATACATTTTAACAATCTACCAACAGATGAAGCACAGCAGAGTTATGTTAAAGTGCAGGAAAAATCTGGATGCTATTCAACCATGCATTACTGGAACACCACGTAGAGTTTCAATTTTGTTATGGCTATTATAAAAAGGAAATATGGGCTGGAGAATATTTGCCAGAAAAATGAGTTGCAAAGAAATCCATGCAAACTCAAAGTGTTTGGAATTTAACATTTTTCAAGCATGAGAATAGTTTCACAAGTGCATACACTGCCCCTGTTTCTCTACCTGTTATTAAAGGCAAAAGGATTATTCCCCATATTCCCTTTGCCTCTCCTTTTTAATTGAAGAATATTTTAAGAGCTCAGCTGGGTCATTACCACAATCCTACACAGTATTCAAACAAAAGCTAAAAAAGAAAAAAGTACCTATTTCCATTTAAATAGGACCAGACTGGATGGGGAATGAGTCGTTGACCCAACAATATAACACAACAGTATTGCTGTATATAGCCCCTACATTTAATATCACAATCAAGAAGCAGTTAATAACACATGCTAATTTATAGCAGAATTTATAGACAAAAGTAAGACTCAACTTGGAGTCAGGAACCATGTTTAACCAAAAATGATTATACAGTTGTAAGAATGAAATGAGGAAATGCACTTTCACATTACAATTACTTGCAACTCCCCTACATTCTCCTTTTGAATAAACAATATCTAGGGACCTACCAATCGCAGCAGAAGTGCATTGTGCAGCAGCTCCTTTAGTCTTGTTCATTTTGCCACATGCCCTGCCCCGATTTGGCAGAGGAGCCCCAGTGGTTGTGCTACTTACTGATCAGGCAGGAGGCAAAAACCATGGTTTTAAATATGCTGTGATTTGTCTCCTGCCACTGAGTAACTGCGGGACCCCAGCCGCCCCACCACTCACTGCTAATTGGCCAGGAGACAAAACTACGGCATACTGGAAACTGCAGTTATTGCCTGCTGGCCAATCAGCAGGAAGCAGCAGGGCTGCTGGGGCCACTCCACCAATCAGGAACAGGGGGGAGGGATGGCGGCAAAACAAGCGAGATTAAAGTAGCCACTGTGCAGCACACTTCCACTGTGATTTTGTTAAGTCCCTAACAATATCACTGCACTCTTCATGAAGGCAAGCTCTTTGGAGGGACCAATAACACCACCTACAGAATCTCCAGTAACATGAGAAGTAGATTCTTGATTGTGCAACTCCCCCCGTCCTGCTCTTTCACTTCTAAGCTACTGCACCTTTCCTGCAGTCCAACAAAAAAACAACCCAAGAAACAACTCTGCAGTGAAGAGGAGAACAGCATCATTTTTATTAACATCAGTATTTTTTTCAGGTGCTCACTTTCAAAATGTTTCCATTTCAACTCCAAAATGTTCTGCATTTAAGAACAATATTTCTGAAAGAGGATGCAACAAACATTGGCATATTCTAGATTAGAAGCAAGAGGATCCTTGGAAGAATCATCTGCATTATTCCAAAAAAAGTACTGCATAACATTAATTTTGGCAAGACCCTTCCAACATATCCCTGTACATAAAAATCACAAGACTACTTGAATTCTAATATTTATTAATTTTACGTGTGTTTCTAACACATTCACAGAGATAAATGCACATTGGTGCCCAGTGTTCCCCTATATATTTTCCATTTTTTGTGAATTGTTCAACATCTTTTCATTTATGCACGTAATAGTAATCCTTACCTTCCAATGTTTCAGGCACACTCTAGAGCAGTGATTCTCAACCAGACTGTCACTACATGATGGGGTGCTGTGAGATCCTTTAAAGGTGCCGTGAGGTGCTCTAATATTAAGTACTATTAGGTGTGCAAACACCTATGCCTGAGTCGCAAGATAAGCCTAGAGATTTTTAAATAGGACTCCGTGGTGTAAAAATCATTCTGACCTGCTATGGTCTTTGAGTTGTTTGCAACAAAAGAACTGCTGTATTATTTTTACAGCAATTTCTTTTAAAAAAGAAAGAAAGGTAAAAACTGGAATTTTCCAAGCGATGCCTCGAGCTTAAAGAAGTTGAGAACCACTGCTCTAAAAGGCTATATAAAAAAATACAAAAAAACTGCAAACTCTGAGTACATTTATCAAGCTTCACCACAGTCATTAAACATACTTTAAAAAACTCCTATTAGAACAGTCACCAGTAAAGAAAACAAAATGTGGACACAGGGTACATTTAGTACAATGAGTCACTGCTATTATTGAATGGTGTTTTGTAAAACTGCCACAAAGTAGATACCTTAAAAGCTGGAAAGCAAGTATAAAATCGAGATCACTTATGCCAATCTTTGGTGGCTGCCCATATAAAATTTAGAGATCCAATGACATTTGCTATCCTAATACTGCTGACCTCAAGCTTTCAAAAATCCTGACTCAGATCCCCAAGAACATTCCATTCTATTTTGGTTGCTATATTTCATCCATTACTGTGGTATTGGCCTAAAACTCACATATTCTTAAAAGAAATTACATCTGATTCTTTCTGATTTTTCAGCCTTTTCACAATACCCTAGCATCCAATTTTCCAATCTGGATGTGAAAAACTCAGCATTAAATGCATACAAAATACATGAGGCAAAGGGGCCCAACACACCTTTGTCTGCTGGGTAGACATGATGCCTTTTTTTGATTCCTGACTTAAGTTGGGAAAGCTGATATTCCTCCTTTCTTCACCTGAGCCCTCTCTTATCTGTCACTCAAGCTCAACCACTCTTTATCATGCTTGGTCTTGCAGTCATTTGCCTTCCTCTACCGATCACAAAAATCGGTATCTGTCCTTCCATATTTTGTTTCATTTTGTGTCCACCATCTTCCTATGCCGCATGATGAAATGAGTATCCAGTGTAGGTAAGAGCAGGCTTAGAGAAACATCAGCGACCTTCAAGCCTGGCTGCAGCTCCTATCATGAGTGTGGCCATTATGAATAAGAGCAAAAGCCTGGGAAGTCAAATCTTTTGAAATGAAGATTTAACATCAGACTCTTAATATCGTCATGAAAGCTGGCAACTCTTACACCTTCAGCCTATTTCAGGTGCCCTGGCCAACATCCAACTTCTAACAGTTTCTACATTCGCAAACTTATGTAAAACGTATTTTTGCTGAAGACCAAAGATTTACCCCTAAAGTGCTTTAGAAAGCAGTAAGAGCTGATGAATTCCAATCTATACACCAAATTAAATTCTAAAGTACAATCTAGTTAGTGAAAGGGCACAGAACAGGTTAAGTCTCAAAGACTACTTGACTACAACAAACCCTGCACTTGGGCAGGAAAGACTGCTGGGATCAGATGACCCCAGCAAGATGTGCATCAAGACATTTTTTTGAAGATTGCCAGGTTGGACAACTGTACCACCTCTGGCGGGGAGCCTGTTCCACACCCTTGGCACTAAACTTGTAAAGAAGTTTTTCCTTATGTCTAGCCTGAAGCAATCCTCAATCAGGCCCATTGTGCCCATTATTTCTCGTCTTCCCCTGGGGAGCCTTGGTGAACAGATGCTCGCACAGGCTCTGATGTATGCCACCTTGTAGGTTGCCACCTAGTCCCCTCTGAGTCCCCTCTCCTTGTATGACCTGGTCTCTAGACATCTAAAATCATGAGCAGGGATCCTGGTTTTCCTGGATAAAAAAAAAAAAAAAAAAAAAAATCACAAATTCTCTGATTAAAAATTGCAAGTTCTCTCATGAGCATAGCCTTCCTTTGGACTCTCTTGAGCTTCTCCACATCCTTCTTGAAGTGCGGTGCTCAGAACTGGGTGCATAACTCCAGCTGCAGGTCTCACCAAGGCCAAGTAGAGAGGGAGGACGACATCCTTAGCCTTGCTCGAGATGTCTTGGTAGATGCATGCCAGTGTTTGATTAGCTCTGCCAGCTACAGCATCGCATTGGTGGCTCATGTTCATTTTGTTGTCCATCCGATGACCTGTAAAGTCCCTTCCAGCTCCTAACAACTATGAAACTATGAAACCAGGAGATCAGTAATGCAAATGCTTCTACATACAGCAAGCCAACAACTAACTGCATATCTGGTAATAACGTGAGCTGTTCCAACACCCTAGTATTCACATTCAAAAACGTTTTATAAAAAAAGAAATTTAACTACAAGTTACTTCAACAGTTAAGCTGCCACCTTCTTTGCTGAAGTATATCCTGTTTGTAAACTGCTGTCAGCATTGTGACAAATAATCAATTTGAATAAGACTCTGCAACCTTTTAAAAAATTTTGCTCAGTTGGCATTGAGACAAAATCGGATCCAATTTACCAATATATAAAATGTTTCCCTATTTTTAGCAATGCCTGACTTCTAGTAACTCTGTTCCCCAATACCTTTGCCTTCCCATACGCAGAATTTAGATATCACACAAGGGTTCCCAGAACCTGATATTTACAATACTGGGAGTCATTAGTAATAGTATCTGCATTTTCCAAGCACAAGGCTCCACAGTGGAATGTATTTATCGGTAATACAATTCACCCTCAAGCTGACACTAGAAAGGAACGCCGTTCTGGAAAGGAGTGCCAAAGGGAGGGAACTGTACTGGTAAAATGTGATTTAAAAATAAGGTTTCACTAAAACATCTTTAATTTCTTAAGCTAAAAGATGGCAAAGTAATCTACAGACATGATTTTTCCTTTTATCTCCTCTTTCCCAAAGCTTCTATTCATCAATTTATTTCTTGCATGTGAGTCTAAATTTTTATCCTTCTTACTGAAGCACAAACTTTTTATAAGAATGGCAGTTTGAATTTATATGTTCCATTGGGAAATCTCCGATTCTGGCACCAAGGAGCTTAAGTAAAATTATATTACAAAGACCTTCAAATTAGTAACTGTTGATGACATTTCTCTTTTCTTGAAAATTATGGATGACTGATCAGCTAACAAGTGGCAATGCAATTCTGTACATGGAACATCAAAGTACAGATTGATGACTTGTTCTAAACAATTTATTTCAAAAGACCTCTGACTCTGCATAAATTAACATGTTTTTCAGGTTCCTCTCAGATTTCAGGCCAGAGATTTTTGTCTGAAGTCTTTTAATTTTTTGTAGCATCTCCAAGACTTGTTCTCGACCTCTTCACTTTTGTTTAAATTCTTGAATAGCCGCCAAAGCTCTTAGAAGTTTATAGCTACCATCTTCCACTCTGGCTTATAACTTCATCAAGCAATGAAAGCTACAGCAGCACCACATAAGGGAGTAACAGAGAACTTCAGTATTTTAATTTTGTTCAGAAGGCCAAAATCATTACCAAGTAAAAAACTATGACTATTTTTGTAGTCACGATATAAATTTTAAAGTCAGCCACATGCATTCTTATTTACTACAAAACTTATTATATTTCCAGTTAGGAGAGAAAAGGGGTGCACAAACATGTAAAATACCAGTTTTGCCTTTACTAATTTTCATAGGCAAGAGAGGCTAAAGTTTTTGGGTTTTTTTCCTGGGATGGCAGATTTTCATAATTGTCCACTGGTGCCCAAAATACTTCACTGACTCTGTTATACTATATAATAAGCTTGAGTAAATTTCTACAACATTTACAGGTACTGCAGAGTTCTGGCTGCAGCAGACTGGAAATTCTACAGCAGCTTTAATTATATTTGAGAAAACAGGGGTTTTTATTAAGTCTCTGTATTTATATTAAAAGCCAATTTGTGGCATCACATGACATCACTGGAGAAGATGGCTGCCTGAAGCTACAATTCCATTGGAAAGATGACAATTCACAAACATCATGGACCCCTAAACCCTTGAAAATCCCATGTGCCCTCCCTGCACTCCCCCGCTCCACCTGGTACTTCAAATCATCTGACCGGGGCTTCCAGCCGCAGGAGTGCATGGTGTTCTCCCCCTGCTGGGAACACGACCACAGCTGGAAGGGTGTCCTAGCCTCTAGAGCACACGGGAGTCCTGATAAGTTTCTGTGTGCTCCAGAGGCCAGGCACTGGTCATGCATTCAATTAATGGTATGATAAGAACCAGCCACAAAGCTATTATGCATAGTGTGTGTAATAGTTTTATGGCATACTCCTCATTTTATCACACTATTTATTGATCAAACATGTGACAGGTCACTAGTTAAGATGTGATTAACTAGTTAAATCAGTCACGTCTTAAGTGTAACATTTGCCAGGGACCTTAACCTCAGGAACCTGAGCTTGAAAATTCTTTCCAAAGGCACAGTTGGATAAAATCAAAGCACAGGTAAAAGATATTGGTCACAGACCTGGATATAAAAGGTGGAGAGAAACCTGCAATCAGCAGTAAGTCATCAAAATATGATTAAGATGACTGAAAGAAAAGGAGCTTGCAGAGAGAATTCTGATTATAGAAAATCATGCATAAAGACAGCAAAAAAAAAAAAAATTAAAATAGAAGGACTCCCAGAAGGTGTAGAGAAGGGAGATCCAGAAGAATATTTAAAGCAGGTATTCCACTCTTTTCTATGGCTGAAAACAGAGGCATCAGTCCTTTTATAGACAGACCACACAAAGCACTCTACACTCTCCCCAATTTGTACCAAGAGACAGTGAGAAACAACACCATAATACCGAACAGCAAACTGTTAAGCCTATAAAAAAAGAAAATACCAAAGTACAAGGACAGGGAGACCTCACAAAACCTAGAGTATTCAGGAAGATTTGAGTGGGATTGAATTGAAGGGCAAAGGAAAAAAAAGTGGAAGGGGAATATCACAAGGGGAAACAAAAGCAACATTGGGAACCAAAATAATTAGGGAAATGGGAAAGTAAAGACAGTTTTTGGCTAAAAGCAAAGGACAAGGTGGTGGGGAAGGATAGTGCAAAATGGAAAGAGACGGGGGGAGACCTGAAACATGGCTCTGTACAACTCCCTCCAGAGAACAGTATCTGACAACCTATAGTGTCATTGCAGGTAGGTTAAGTAGACCAAACAATCTAGATACGCTTTATTTCTTATTTTCCAATATTATAAACAGGTGAAGGCAGTCCTAGCATGTACATTATTCACCAGCCAGCAAGCTACTATCTCTAGCCAGATTATTTAAACATTAACATATATACAGTTTATACTAATAGTACAGATTATAAGAATTGCTGTATATTATTATAAAGCCGAACTTGAAGCCAATCCATCACTTTAAGCAGCAGCAGTTCAGTTTATCCTTTACAGTGTAAAAGTAAAGTTTTTCATAATATGGCTTAGGGGGAAGTATGCAACTGAACCTAAAAATTCCTGTATGAAACCCCCCAAGTTAGCAATACTATCTACTCACTGTCCGTCCCCCCCATCTAACCTATATTTTTTAAATCTTCTTTACAAAATATTTTCCTGACCATACTCAAAATGTTTTGTTTTAGACCCACCTTCACCATTTTGTGCTTTATTTATCATCATACTATTCAGCCTTACATTGGTTCATTTCCTTTGAAACGAACATTCTACCAGAAGGCTTCCACTAGACAAAATGTGGAAGGGATAAGTAATGCCCAATGTGGCAACATGAGAGAATGATTAAAAACCTGAGGGGAATATAGAATCTGTACTGGAAACAGATGAAGGGAAAAAGGAAATATAAACACATAGGCACACTAACCATACAGGGAAAATACAAAAACAAACAGAAAGAGGGAAGAATGAATCAGCTAACCAAACTGGTTGAGGAATGAGTAAAAGAGGCTTTTACAAAAATAACAAGAAAGAAAAAATCATTCTGAAGGAGCCCTCTTCAATGCATTACCTTCAATGTTTAGGGCAACAAAATTGTATTACTTAGTTTAAAGATACAGCCCAGCCTCCTCCCAACCTGACATTTTTATCAAGAATATCAAAGCTCCTCCATACTGCAACAAGCTCATTACATTGTTTACAAAACACTTTCCTGAAGACTAGTAACCCTGTCCTAACATATGCCAGTAAAGCTTATCTAGCATGAAACGTTCAATTAGATTGTGATCTCCAGTTCTAAGCTTCTCTATGAAGTTACCAACTGAATTATTAGTAGCGGCTGTTTTATGTATTCGTCAAGAAAAGTGCATAGGACTCAAAGTTAGTGCACATTAGTCACAGCACGTCATTTCACTGAGAAAAAACAGAATAGATAAAGCTGAGGATATGTACAAAGCAGAAGTAAAGAATTCCTTCAGATAAACTCTGTAAGTGTCACCGGCCTAAGTTTCAGCTAGAAATTACATCACGTACTAAAGTCGCTATAGATAAACCTAGAGAGAATGAGAGGTAATACTGTACTCAACAAACAACCACTATTAAAAATTATTAACAGTTATCATAAAAGCCTGCAGTTCATTTACATGGTATAAGACATCTTTCACACAAGAAACTGCAAAGGAACTGGTACTGAAACATACCAGCAAGCCATGACTCAAAGTACTCATAAGTAGTATATATACCCCACAAGATGTGTTCTTATAACCGAATCTAACTGCAATGAAAGAAAGAAAGTTTTAACATCATATTCAATTGTAATCTCTTAAACCAGTTTCTATTTATTAATTCTAAACAAATACCTGAGTTTCTCTCTTATTTGTTCCCTCTTCTGAATCAGACTGGTGCTCCTGTTCATTTTCATCGCTCTGAAATCAAGGAAGAGATCAAAAATATTTTGGAATGCTGCTGAAAACTTTAAAGCATTTTATACTTGTATATCTGGGGTCAGTCTATTTGCCTTAATGTTTGCATAAAAGCAACAGAAGGACATATGATTAAAATTCCTCAAGAATTTCACATGAAGTAAAGGGGAAATTCAAAAAGCCAATTAAACTGAAGGGCAGAAGCATTTAAAAACCAGAAGCAAATGTAAAGGGAAGAAATGGGATAAATACATTTGGTAAAATACAATCCTTCCTTTTACAAACAAAATTTAAGTCACAGGGAGGGGGGGGAAGGATAGTAAAGAGTTAATTCTGTTCAAATTTAATTGTAAATACGTAGCATTTTGTAGAGTTCAGGGTGAGTTCCGTTTTCACACATTAACTGTAGGCAGATTTTTATCTTTATTAAGATTTTTATCTTATTACATACTTATTCAAATGAATATGAAAGATTCTGAAGTTATTTAATGGTTTAAATATCAGTCTAAAATGACAGCTTCAGAAGAGTTAATGTAATAAATCAACATGGAACAATATCAGGGTTTTTATTAATTCTTCCTGCTCTCAGTGTAAAAAGTTTTTTTTAAGTACAATCCAAACATGTTCATATAGGGATGCAGGGGATTTGTTTTGAGATCTAAAGCAGGAAATTTAAGACAATGAGCCTATGACACTTTTGAGGCATTTGTGCAAACACTTGTGCCGCAACGCCAAGTGCTTTTAAAAGTGCCCAGTGCTGTGGCCCATGCATTTTTATAAATGGCAAAATGTGTGTCAGCACTGAGAAAATAGTTGCAGTGCACTTTTGAACTAAAACCCAAAGGTGTTTTAGTTCAAAAGCCTGCTGCCGCCATTTCTCAGGGTTGATGCACATTTCGCCATTTACACAAATGCATGCGATGCAGTGCCCAGCGTATCAGCTTGCATACCCCACAGACTCAATTAATCTCCGGTGCGTTGGAGCAGACAAATGTATGTGTATAAATGCCCCTGAATTCTACCTTGGTAACATACTATTTATTAGTAATTATTTATATTCTAGAACCGCTTGATTGAATTAACCCATTATGCCAGCATTGCACAAAACCAAGAGATATTGTATTTATTTCACTTTTACCTAGTAAATCACAGACAGATTCTACACTAGGAACATCCCAATTTACAAAATGGTTATTAAATAAGGGGGCTGGATTAAACTGTCTCCGTCTATTTCTACCACTCATCCCATGACTTCGTTTTCTTGAATCTCTTATAAAAGATAGCCAAAGGCTCCCTTAAAAGCCCCCATACTGAGGTGAAGCAGTTTTCCTTAACTGATTATTTAATGACATGTTCAGAGTTGTAGCAGATTAAAAAGATGCAATTTTCCCTAAACTATGCTGATTCTGGTTTGTACCCATCACATGATGATAATTTAAGGTTTTATATTTCTTTATAATATAGTTTCAAATCAATTTACCTAGCTGGTCTTACACCAGCACATAACTTTTTAAAGAAGAAATTAAAAGTTTTGGCATAGGTAATCCATCCCATGATGATGTCCTTCCTGATTTTTCTATGAAGAATCATAATAAAGCATACTGCTCTACATCGCTCCCTATTCTAATGCTTTCAAATGCATCAGGATAATCATGCATTGGAGAGAAAGATTCCTTTCCGACCCTTGTAAGTGACTGGCAAAAACTCTGAAACACCAGATTTTATTCTAATGCAATTTAATGTAGTTTCTATATTGTTTGTATAATACAGGTATAAGTTAAAAGTTTGGGCACTTTCTTTCTTACATCTTGAGTCCAAAAGGGAACTCCGGTAGACCTTCGTTTTTCTCTCGGCCGTCGCCTGTCTCTTATTGATTTAGTCTGTGATTTATCTTCTTCCTTTTCTTCTTCTTTCTTCCCTCCTTCTGTTAAGAACAACACTTTTTAAGTACAGTATAGAAATCATCCAATCTTCAGAAACCCTAAATCAGCATCTGACAAGATATGGAAGATTAATATTTTGGCCATTTTAAGACTACTTGTATAACTCAGCTTACAACACGGGTTCATAAAACATTATTCTATATACCACTTGATTGGCATAATAAACGTTTTGTAGTTACCAATTGCTGTCACACATCTTACATCAGTCATCTAAAGCAAAATATTTCAGTATAAAGAAATATTCTGAGGCTGATCTCAGAATTAAACCTTGAATTTTGTATAACTTGTTATCACAATGAATAACAAGCGATAAAAACAAAACAACCCTCTCTCTCTTGCTCAGTTTCCTCCATTAATAATATCCTCCATAGCAATCCTGTGGGGTTTTTTTTTCCTTATTCATATAAGGAATTTATTTTATTAATTCAGCATTTGCTTTGATGCAACCTCTTGGGTGTTAAGGCTGACCGCCCACCTCCTCCTACCCTCCAAAAGCTTTCACATAGTTTGGATATTAAAGCAAGCACTGTGCAGGGTTGTACTAGCATAGGACAATCACCTGCTATCAAAAATGTTTACTAGTCTGCTACCCTTTTTATCAACACATTCAAAGGCAGACACTGTAACAAACCCTACACTAACTTGTTTATTTCTGTTATCACAATCTTCAGGCCTAAAAACTTGAAGCAAAAATTAGACAGAAAAAGATGGGAATATTCATGGAGAAAGCACATTTATGAAATTAGGTATTGGATTTTAAATACCTTAAATAATTTTTCTCCCACTAAAAACTCATTCATACAGTACCTATACTGCGCTTACATATGAGAATATTCTTATTTCAGTATAGAAAGGGTACCAAGAATAGGACTATATAACTGTGGAAACCCAAACCAAATCCAGAACTGCTTCATAACAGAGGGAAACAACATCCAGGATACTGCTAGTCACCTCCTGAAAGCTACTACAAGTAACAGCTTTAGAAAATATTGATCCTTGAGAGTTCATGATTATTTCAAAGTTTACAGCTGAGTAAAACCAACAGATCATCTACTCTGACCTATATACCACAAATATATATTCCTATTCATATTCATCCAGCTTCCCCTATATTAACGCCAATAATTTAGGTTAAAGGATTTCAGTCCTCAGGAAACTAATGTGCTGCATCTCAGAGACAGAAAGGAAACTGCCATGAATGTCCAAAATCCTGGTGGCAGGGAACTGGCTGGGTAAACATCCAGAGAATCCTAGCAGATGACTCATACACTGTAGCAGAGCTCCCAGGCTGAATGTAGCTTCGGAGTAGTTAACTCATGGTCTGTGGGCTCCTGTTGCCTTTACTGCCTTGGTACCCTGTGCTTAACCCCACTGCCTGCTCCTGCTGCCATCAGTACCTCCCCAACTCCATTCTGCTGGGCTCCCCTCCTTTCTCCAGCTTTTGCTTCCTGCTGCTGCCCTCTGGCTGCTCACAAGTTGGACAGCCCTGCTCTACAGGGAGGCAGAAACCCTCAAGATCACCATCAACCTGACTGGGAGGGAATTCTTTCCCAATCCCATATCTGGCAATCAGTCAATTTGATCCTTAACGTAAGAAAAGACACCAGAAAAGCACATAAAAGGATCCTCTTTCACTGCAGAGCATCTGCCCATTCTAGTGGTACATACTAACCTGCATCTCACCCTGATGCTTTGGAAACTAACAAAATTCCCAAATACAACAGGCCAATCATGCATTGGAGAAAAATTCCCTCCCGACTTTTCCAGGTAACTGGCAAAATCTCTGAAACACTGGATTTGATTATAACAAGTGTCTTAATGCAACTCTACAAGTGTTACAAGCACACCAAGGGCAAAACAGAATTCCCTTTAACTCTTTGTGGCTCTGGAAGGGACAGGATGAATAGATTTGAATTCCAAAGTCAAAATAGACATTACCATCCAACACTGATCCACCCCTCCCCACAAAAAAGATGACAGAATTTTTCCCAGAAGCTGGATTAAGTGGCAGTAGGTACCTTACCTCACAGCTCACGTTACATAGGACAGTGGCTTTCAAACTGTGTTCTGTGAAACCCTGGGGTTCAGCACCGGTCATCAGGGGTTCCCATTAGGATTGGGGGTAATGGCAGCTACCACTGTCATGCTAGGTCACCTGGCTTCATGTCAGCTCTCTCAGGCTGTGGAGCCAGGTGTAGGGGTTCCACAGCAGAAGAGGCGATATGAAAGGGTTCTATGATTTTAGGACGTTTGAAAACCACTAATGCAGGACATATTACCTTCTTTAGAGAGACACGTGGCCCTTTGGTAATTATAGGGAAGAGAGTCAAAACATATAGCAGACCTACCTCTCTCATTTTCCTTTGTTCCGCTTCTGGAATAGGCAGAAGTTATACCTATAAGGCTGTTTGGTCTGTTTAGTTGGCTTGAAGTAGAAAGAGAGCTAGTGGATGTGGAAAGTGAAGAGGTGGATGACGAAGTAGTTGAAGCTGTAGTTGAAGTTGGTCTATAGCGATGATAGGGCTGTTCGGCAGAAAAAAAATCAGTATCAATTACCAGAGATTAAAGGACATTAATGAAAACAGCCATGATATTAAGACATTGACATAAAAGACTTATATCATATACTTTAATGCTATCATAGAGTACCTGTACACGAGCAGGAAGACTGCTCTGAGGTACTGTAATTACAGTGCATAGGAGCAGACTCAATTAATCGAGTCTGCTGGATTGTGGTAATTATCAGGCTTCAGCCAGCCTCCATGTCTTCTGTATTAGCATCCCTGTGCTTCAAAATGGCAGTGGGGGGGCTTTATTTAAAGTGTGTCCAACACTGCCATTTTGAAGCATGGGGATGCTGATACACAAGACGCTCCAGGCACTTTAATTAGAGTGGCTCTTAGAGACTCTCTAATTAAAGTCCGCCCCCCAACAAGCACAGATAAAAATGCCCATATGTTAAGATGAATATCAAATTCATTAACTAAAAAAGTGCGATACCTCTTCAATAGTTCTGGAATATCTTTGTCTATAATCATCATCTTTAGTTTCTGATTCCTTCTTGTCCTCCTGCTTTTCTTTATCTTGTTTTTCTTTCTCCTCCTTCTCTTTTTCTTCATTTTCCTGTTCTCTGGTTCGTGTAGGACGACTTCTTCCTATAGTTTTTTCAGCTTCTTGAAGATCAGTTAATGTTACACCCT